CCCCCCCCCCCCCCCCCCCAACGGACACACGCAGTTCATGGAGTCCAAGGGCAACTCGCATGTGAATTCCATCTACGCCTCCGCGATCCCGGCCGCCTGGCACCAGCTCCGCTCGGGCGACCCGCACATTGTGCGTGAGCAATTCATCCGGGCCAAGTACGAGCGTCGGCTTTTCAGTTCGCCCACTGGCGGCGAGTCGGAAGAGGCGGTCCCCCCCTCGCCCTCCTCGCCCTCCTGGGAGCAGACACTTCCGGTGCACCTGCCGGTCCTCGGTGAGGTTGGCAAGCTCGATCCCAGCCAGACTATTTATGCCGGGCCGGTGCTCGTTCGGCGTGGGGCCACGTCCCTCACGTCGCGCCTCCTCCCGAGCGCCCTGTCACCGGGCACGCGCTTCACCCCGCACTACATCGCCCTGCGCGAGGCCATCTACGTTTATGAGTCGGCGGTATGCTGTCCCCCTCCCCTTCCCCCTGGCGCTCTCCTTTGTGCACTCTCGCTGTCCCTCCCCGTGCTCCTGGTTCCTCGTGCTCTCCCCACCGTGTGTTGTCTGTGCCGATCTCCCACCTGACGCGCCTCCTCCTGGTCGACTTCTGGAACCCCCACATGCCCAGGCCGCCGCCTCGCAGCCCGGAGCCAAGGAACTCCTGCGCATTGAATACCGTCGGATCAAGCTGGCCTTCGTCCACGTCGGGTCCAATGCGCATGGGAATCTCGGTCTCTCCGGGGCCGAAGGGACCGGGGCTGCGGCCACCGGCGCGGGGCCCGCCTCGCGACCGATGTCCTCGGCCATGTCAATTTCGGGCACGGGCGACATGGCAGCCGGCGATGCTGCTGATGCAGCCCCCGTTGTCGCCACCGCCATTGCTCCATCGCCCCCGACGACCATGCAGCCATATGCCCTGCAGATCTTCGACACTTCCTCCGACCGGAATATCTTCGTCTACTGTGCTTCCGGGCGGGAGCTGGTCGAGTGGCATTATGCTCTGCGTGTGGGCAAGGCCCTGGCCCAGGGGGTTCGCATGACCAACACCACCCACGAGGAGGTGCGCCTTCGTCCCCCCTGCATCTTCTTTCTCTTCCTTTGCCATTTGCGCATGGTGTATGCCCGGCTAATCCTCTCGGGTTCTTCGTCCCCCCCTCTCTCTCTCTCTCTCTCTCCCTCTCC